TCCATCATTTGTCCCCACAATGCATTATCCCATTGTTTCTTTGCACAGAAAGCACCTTCTAGGGCTCATCATGACATAAAAAGAGAGACCCAAACTCCTTATGTGGCAGTCAATATTTCCCAAAATCTGGCCCCTGACTACCAATCTTGCCTCATTCCTCACTCATTTTTATCCCACTGATTCCACATCCCAGCCAAGCAGGGTTATTTGTGATGCCCAAATATACTTTTCTGCCTATGACCTTTGTTTCCTGCCTTTACCTCAATTCAGTATGCTCTTGGTTTTTCTAGAAAAGTCAGTGACCAAGAATATTACGGCCTCAAACCAATTCTTTCAGGTTCAGTCATGACTGAGCTTAAAGCTAATCCAAAACAGACCCTAGTTTGTAAACTTTTAGTGAACTGGAAAAAAAACTAAAATAGGAAAAATTATGGCTCAAAGCCCTGCTAGAACCTTAATCTCTCTCTTAGAAACAAAGGACAGTGTATGTGCTGCATAGCAACCAAATCTCTTACTCTTCAGATTTTGAAGAGAGTCGTAAACAATGGTGACCTGTTCAAAGATGGCAGCTGGACCCATCTCTTTTAATGTATGTTCCACTCCACAATACTGTCAGTAATCCAATCTCCCACACCAGGCTCCTGGAAGGGCTCACTACACATCTCTGAGTCTCCCATTCCAGGGCTTTGACCTGTAATTTGTCCGGTTTTTATTCTGGGTCACCCAAATGTTATAAATTCAGGTCTGTTCCGGTTTCGTTTTATCAGCCACAACTGAACTGGTTAGAAGTTCTGGGGCATTCAGGGATTTTTTTTTTTTTTTTACTATTAGCAAAGGACCTATAATACCAAATGTTATTAGAAAAACATAATCATTATGAAGCACAAGAGCAGAAAGGTTAAGTGTGGGAGCTTTTCAGTCAAACTAGACTTGACTTCAGATCCCAGCTGGCTATTAACCAGTCATACAATCTCTTTGAATCTCAAAATGTAGTTCAGTAAAATGAGAACCATAATTGCACCTACCTTGCAGGGCTGATGGGAGTATTAAAAGAAGTAATTCAAGTTAGGCACACAGCAGGTACAAACAAGTATCACTCCTACTGGGTCTAATGTTTTAAGAATATTTTATTGTTTGAAATGAACAGTTCAATAGAGCTAGAATAATTTATAAGTATAGTTGTTAAGTGCCATTGAACTGATTCCAAATCATAGCAACCATATACAGGGTTTCTGAAGAGAAGCTGGTGTGCTTGAACCACCGACCTTGTGGATGAAAACCAATTTGCAGTCCAGCACATTAACCTATAGCGTCATACCAGAACTCCGTAGTACAGTAGCAAAGTGAATTTTCAATTACTGAACCCAACACAGGTTGGTCTGTAGAAAAGCTAATTACCTCACATTGAGTGCTAGTTAAGTACATTATTATTATTATAAGCTCTCTGCTAAATAACCTTGTTTCGGACAAAATATGAAACATAGAAAAAACCACAGAACTTATCTTACTTGGTCCACTCTTGTCAGTATTGAGGCTATTTCTCTGTTGGAAGGTAGTAGTAGTCATTTAAATTTGTGCACAAAAATCTTTAAGCAGTACTATTTGGAAAAGAAAACACTTTGAAGTCATCTGTACTGGATAGTAGGGATTCAACAAGCTTTGGATCTGGTAAAGAGGGCCAGGGGCCAAGCACCTTGCCTGGAATACAAAGGGACTTCAAAAGTGTTGCTCCTCTTTCCTTTCCCCTTTGAACTCTATGCTCAATGGACCCTGGTGGCAGAGTGGTCAAGTGTTCAACTAACTATTAACCAAAGTCTGGTGGTTTTAAACTACCAACAACACTGTGGGAAAAAGATGTGGCAGTCTGCTACCATAAAGTGTATAATCTTGGCCACCCTAGAAGGCAGTTCTATCTGTTTTACAGAATCAACATGAATCAGAATCAACTCAATGGTAGTAAGTTTGGTTTTCTTGTGTTGCTGATGAGTACATCAATGAGAATGAAGAAATGATGAGCACATTAAAATATTTATTCCGCTACATTTCCAGATGATATATGTTATAAGGAGTCCTGGCTTGACACTGTAGGATAAGCATTGGACCAAGGTCGTTTGAATTGCAAAGTCAGTGGTTCAAACTCACTAGCCATTCCTCAGAAACCCCATATAGGGTCGCTATGAGTCAGAACTAACTCAATGGTACTTTACAATAACAACAACATATAAAAGGTAAAACATTTCAAGTTTCACATTCCATTTTTATTGTATTTCAGGATCAAAGTCCTTTTGTGGAAATACACATTTGAAATGATAATGGAATGCTATGGAAAAAGATTATTTCAACAAATGTTTACTTAAATCATTCATAGTTTTTTATGGAAAAACAGAAACACAAAGTTGTAGTCATAGTGAAATAATGTCAGTCACAAAGGAAAATACTATCTGTTCTGACTTCTATAAAATAAGCAAAAATTAGAAACCAAAGACTACTAATGGTTTCCAGGAGTGGTGAGGAAGGGGAAAGGGAACTTTTGTGCTTATGGTGGTGGTGGTGGTAGTGGTGGTGGTAGTGGTGTGCCATGGAGTCAGTTCCAACTCACAGCAACCCTGCATAGGATTTCTGAGACTGTAAGATTTTCAGGAGCAGAAAGCATCAGCTTTCTCCCTCGGAAGGGTGAACTACTGACCTGAGGTTAACAGCCCAACTCATAACCACTACGCTTATGTTAATGCTGACAGAATAATGTGGAAAAGTATAGAATGATTATACAACTTGAAGCATGTAATCAATACTGAATCACTGGATGTAGAAATTGTTATATTGCTTCATTGTGTCTATATTCACAACAATACAAAGCAAGACTTTAAAACAAAACATACACAACAAAGGCTGCTGTTTCTATCCTCAATGGTACCATGCTCTGCTTCATTATTTAACACAATTCCACCCAAGCAGACATAATAACCTGACAAGAACAACAAGAGCCAGTTAGCAACTGGAATATTCTAGACATGAACATCATGGAACAAATATGAGGAAGGTAGAAAGAAGTTTAGTTTCACTATGGATGAAAAAGAATCAAGCACAATTTGTTTCTAGAAAACTAAGTCCAAAGGAAGACAAAAAAGGGAAAAGCAAAATTTGGGGTGAAGCTGGTCATCTTGGCAGCTTTTATTAGTAAATGCTAACAAAAGGTTGTTGTTGTTGTTGTTAAGTACCGTGGAGTCAGTTCCAGCTCATAGTGGCCCTACACAGGGTTTCCGAGGCTGCAAATCTTTATGGAAGCAGAAAGCCTCATTTTTCTCCCATAGAATGACTTAGTTTCGAACTGCTAACCTTGAGGTTAGCAGCCAGATTCATAATCACTACGCTACCAAAGCTCCTTATTTGGAAAGGTAGAAAATGTGATTTATCTACTTTTCTGTGCTCTAGAGTACACGATTTGGTTCTCATCTTCTTTCTTCTTTTGAGAGGCTGTGCATGGTTTCAGACCATTTCCTCCTGGCAGTCACATGACGGAAATGAAAACAGGAGGTGATGTGTGACATCACCTGTGCCAGGACCTTCCAGAGCCTGAGAGACAGTATGGCTGCCAGGGCTCTTTTGTAGCCTGATGCATGGCTCAGTAATGAAAACCAACTTCTGTCAAAATAAAGCAAACAAGGAGCTATCAGTGAACCCAGATCTCTTCATTGTACACGTTTACAAACATGGCCAGGCTGTCTTTATTCATTGCAAATGGCTTTAAGAAATGCAAATGTATATATTCTGACCAGTGATTCTTAAACTTTCTGTGAATCAACTGAAAACTATGGACTCTCTGGAAAAAATGCACACACACTGAGACACACACATACAATGTACATTCAATACACAAATAG